ACTCTACTCTACTCTACTCTACTCTACTCTACTCTACTGTTCTGTTCCACTCCACTCCACTCCACTCCACTCCACAACACTCCACAACAGAACAGAACATACCATTAATTCTTTCCCTGTTATTCTATTCTATTCTATTCTATTCTATTCTATTCTATTCTATTCTATTCTATTCTATTCTATTCTATTCTATTCTATTCTATTCCACTCCACTCCACTCCACTCTACCTATTCCTATGCTATTCTACTGTACTCGACTTGAGGCTGGCACCCCCTCATCGGGCATCTCAGAGGCAGATTCGCATGCATACCTGCAAGGAAGACCCGGCCACGAGGACCGCATCAGACTCCTCGAGACGCTGGTACACCAAGTCCACTTTCTCCTTGCACACATTGTCCCCAAAGAAAGTCACATCTGGCTTGAGGACCCCGCCACATTTGCTGCACGATGGGACACGGAAGTGTCGCACCTGGTCTTCCGGCAGAAAGACATCTCCGTCAGGAGCCACGCCGTGGGCCTCAGCTGTCCACGAGGGGTTCAAGGCCTCAAAATGTTCCTGGAGATGCTGGCGGGAGACCCGGGCCTCACAGCTGAGGCACACGACCCTGTGGAGAAAGAGGCTTTCAAGGATGGATATCTAAGCTCAGGAGAAGGAAGGAACTACCTCATGATTCCTAGCGGCCCCCCGCATTAGAAATTAAGAAAATAAAATAAGAAAATAGAAAAGAAGTTGAACTCAATGCTCGCCTAAGTGTAAGATTTTGCTTTGCTCTGAGAGATTTGGGCCAGAGAAAAGGGTATTATTCTCTCTTTTTTTTTCTACTGCTGCAAACACGTCCTGGGAACTAACATGCCTGTGGAGGGGGGGGTGTCGGCATTGTCTGGCTCCCCCCAGGCAGCAAAAGTCTTGGGCAGTGGTGGGATTCAAAAACTTTTACCACCGGTTTGGTGGGTGTGGCACGCGCACGCCAAACACGCAATTTGCGCAGGCGCCAGAGGTGTTCCAAATCACCTCCTGCAAGCCTGCACTCTCCTGGTCGCATGACACTCAGCAGCTGCTGCATGACACCCTTCTGTGTCGCGCAAAGCAGTTGCGCTTCGGAAGCAGAAGATAAAGGTGAGCAAGGGAGCCTGGGAAGGTGGGTAGGCCCAACAGCAAAGTGGTGGAGAGAACCGGTTTGGTCTCTGCTGCTCATCACCGCTACCGGCTCGGCGGAACTGGGCCGAACTGGTAGCATACCACCACTGGTCTTGGGGCTCTGCCAGGGAGGCAGGGGTGGGGTTCTACCAGTTTGCACCTCTTTGCTAGAACCGGTTGTTAACATTCTAAGCAGTTCGGAGAACCAGTTGTTAGAAGAAATTACAGGGCTAATCCTGTAAGGAAGGCAGGAAGGAAACATTCTGGTGTTGCTTACAGAAACGGCCTCTCCATTTACCCTTATTACGTTCTTGGCAGGACTAGACTTCCTGTCTCTGGAACTTTTCTGGAGTTTTCTTTCCCTCCTTTGCTGGTACTTTGCTTGTGTGGAGGGACCATTCAAAGTTACAATGGCACTGAAAAAAGTGACTTATGACCATTTTTCACACTTACGACTGCTGCAGCATCCCCACATTCATGAGAGGCCAGGCGAGGAGATGCATGCCTCGATATGAGTGATATTGAGTTGGCCACATCCACCCAGTCACATGACCACCAAGCCACACCCACCACCTAAGCTACGCCCACAGAACCGGTTGTTAAAAAATTTGAATCCCACCCCTGCAGGGAGGGACATGATCGGACACCCCAGCCCTCTGGCATCTATGCAGAAGGCGCCTCTGAGCTGCTGGCTTCAAGAGCCCTGATGGGTCTGCCTCGCCCCAGGGCCCTTTTCAACTTGGTGGAACCCGAGCGCCAGGCCGGGCAGATGCGCCGGGCACTTGCCCCTTCCCTGCCAGGCTTGGCACCTGCTTCCCCCTCCCCACCTGTGTGTGCAGCCATGCAGCTCAGTCATGCGCCGACTCCCAGCCTTGGCGTGGAGGGCATCCACGTTCTGGGTCACCAGCCAGTGCAGCTTCTCCTGCTGTTCCCAGCTGCTCAGAGCCTGGTGTGCCGCGTTGGGCTGGTGGGAGGAAAACCGGGGCCACCCCACGAAGTTCCTGGCCCAGTACTTCTGCCGGGCTGCAGCATTGCGGAGAAACTCAGCGTGCTGGACGGGCCGGCGGTCAGACCGGGCATAGAGGCCCACACCTTCAGAGCGGTAGTCCGGGATGCCGGATTCGGTGGAGATTCCTGCTCCAGTCAAGACGAAGAGCCGCTGGCAGCGGAGAACGAACCCCTGGAGTTTCTCGATCGCCCCAGCGTCCGGAGGGGGGCTGGCTGGGACGAATGCCAGGCAGGGGGCAGCCTGGGGCACGGAGGCCTGGGAGGCCCAACGATGGAGTCCAGGAACCAGCTGTTCTCCCCACCTTTTCAGAGACTTCATCTGGGGAAGGCAGAAACGGGAAAACCAGGTTTCCAAACTATTCAAGGAGACCAACCCTTTTTTTGTTTTTGCCCCAGACATTTTGGTGGGGCAGGAAAACTTCCTTTTTCTTGCTGTCCGGTAGTGAAAGCAGAGTTTAAGCAGATGGATCAGACACGACTATGCAACTAACAACAAACAATAAGGTTTAATGAAAAGAAGGACCGGGGGGGACATGATAGCAGTGTCCCAGTACTTGAGGGGCTGCTACAAAGAAGGGGAGGTCAACCTATTTTCCAAAGCAGCAGAGGGCAGGACAAGAAGCAACTGGTGACCTTCTACCACTGCACCATAGAGAGTATCTTAACTTATTGCACCTCTGTAGGGTTTGCCAATTGCACCGGGGCAGATAGGATGGCGCTCCAGAGGGTGAACCTCATTGCCCAGAGGATCCTGGGTTGCCCTCTCCCCTCTTTGGAAGAGCTTTATAGCTCCCACTGCCTTAAGAAAGTACAAAACATTCTCAAAGATCCATCTCATCCTGGGCACCCCCTTTTTTTGAACTATTACCATCTGGCAGACAGTACAGGGTAATAAAAACAAGGACAAATAGGCTGGAAAACAGTTTCTATCCCAGGGCAGTAGCTCTTTTCTGCTGTATAGTGCAGTGTTGGTGTGCTGTGTGGGGTTTTCGGTTCAATGTGTGGAGGGTGAAGGATGTGCGTTTGTGTTTATTTTCATGGTCATGACGTGCACTGAAGACGGTGTTTGATTTCGTTGTACGAGGTGCAATGGCAATAAAGTAAAGTAACTAACTAACTGATGGAAAGTAACCCAGGAGAGAAGCAACCTGGAATTAAGGAGAAACTTCCTAACAGTGAGGACAGTGAACCAGAAATTGTGTGGGTTCCATCACTTGTCTGAAATGGGATAGGTTCTCCTGCTTGAGCAGGGGGCTGGACTAGATGACCTCCAAGGTCCCTTCCAGATTCTATTCTATTCTATTCCATTCTATTCTGCTTCTATTCTATATGCTATTCTATGTTCTGTTCTGTTCTAAAATAAGGACCAGCCTGGTTGCTTGCCCATCCCTGGCAGAATGCAGCCAGCTGGGCGGGAGGGGAGGGGAGGAGGGAGGCGCTTTCCCAGGTGGGGCGAGGGCGACGGGCAGCCCCTTCCCCAGCCATTCCCGGGTGTCTGCTGGGATTTTGCAAAGCGGGCGGCCGGTTGGGGGAAAGCCGTCAACGCGCCCGATCTTTCTGCCTCCCCGTCCCCCGTGCGCGTGCACGGGCCGCGCGCGACACCCTCGGGAGGGGGGGGGAATGTTGGGTGGGAGGCACGTGCATACTCCAGGCAGGCGCTTGCGCCCTTCAGGCGACCCTCTGCCACCTGTCAGAAATGGTTGTCTCAGGGTTGGACTAGATGGCCTCCAAGGTCCCTTTCCAATCTGTAAACCCCGCTTCCCCAAACCCCGACCCAGGCACGCTCACCTCTCGTTCCCCGCCGGGCGCGCGAGCGGCGGCCGCGAGAAGGGCAGCCTGCCGGGAGGGGGGCGGAGAAGCTCAGCCCGGAAAAACTACAGCTCCCACAATCCACCGCGAGAGACCGCAACCCCCCCCTCCCCCCCGGCTTGCCAGCCTCGGAGCTTTATGAGCTCAGGATCGGCCGGGCGGGCGAGCGAGCGGCGGGGGCGGGGCGGAGCAGTCCCGGAAAGAGCCGGGAGTCAGCTGAGCCAGGGGGCGGCGGCGGGGGAGGGGAGGGAGGTGGGGCTAAAGGGCCAGATCGGCTTGGGGAGCGTAGCAAGGGGGGTCACCTCGAGGTCATCCGTTCAAAATCCTTGCCCGAGCAGGGGCGTTCAGGAGAACGGCAGGAGGAGGAGGAGGAGGAGAAGCTGCGGTGAAGTCGCGGGACTGCCTTGCCAGCCGGTGCGGGGCGATCGCCCAGTTGGAGGGAACCCCGCTTCAATACAAATTAACAGAGTGGGAAGGGATCTTGGAGGTCATCCAGTCCAACCCCCTGCCCAAGCAGGAGACTCTGCACCATGGCAGTCCCACTCTCTTCTTGAACGCCTCCAGGGATGAAACTCCCACAACTTTCAAAACCCTCTTTAAACTCTTTAAGTTTAAACCCTCTTTAGCTTGGACCCGGGGCAATTCGGGGCTCCTCCCGAGGTCAGGCTGCCTTCCCTCCACTGACCTCTGTGGGGTTAGGCAGTTACGGGGCAATGGAGGGGGCGATGGGGGGGGGCGTTTCCTCCCGAGGAGGCTTCGGGGTTGCCCAGAAGTTCGTGTTTCTAACAGGCTCCGTTTTCTGCCCCCCCCCCCCCCTTTTCGAGGCCCCGGGGTCCATTTCGGGGGCCCCCCCCCCCCCCCCCCCAGACATTTTGATCTAAGCAACACAATAATAGCTTGTTTCTTTTAAAAAAAATGTATTATATATTTTCATTTATTATACATCACGTTTCCATTTCTGCAATGCCAGTGTACTGTTGTATCAAATCTCATTTTAAGTATACATAAGTATATATGTAAGTATATATAAGTATACACCCTGATTTTATTTTTCTCATAATTATACAATATAATTTCCTTTGAATATACATATTATATCACATCATAATTAGAACCATTATTCTCATAGTTATACCATGTAGTCTTCACCTCTAGTCACTCTGTAGATCTGGGGTCTCCAAGGTTGGCAACTTTAAGACTTGTGGATTCCCAGAATTCTCCATCAATCATAAATGCCTGGAGAATTCTGGGAGTTGAAGTCCACAAGTCTTAAAGTTGCCAAGTTTGGGGACCCCTGGTGTTGACTACAATCTGTAGTCAAGTACAATCCATTAGTAATATAGCATATATACTT